TTTTTAGAATTTTTCATTTCCGCTCCACTCTCCCGAAATCTTCCAAAACATTTATATTTCTCGCTGCAAATCGGAACACTTCTCACAAGATTTCTGGTTCTCAAATTACACATCGGAACTTAATGAATATGTCTTCTGATTTTCAACATGTGTATCAAAACACATTTTAGTTGTCTTTCGATTTGTTCATATCTTGACCGAAAGTGTACTACAAAGTGTTTCGGTTCTTCTATTCTTGCATACTGGAATTCCATTTCCATGTGTTCCGGTTTTATGATTTTTCATACCGGAACTCTTTTCAAATGTCTTCTGGTTTTATGCTTTTTTTCATTTCGGAACTTCTTTCCAATGTGTTTCGGTTTTGTGTTTTTTTAATACTAGAACTCCCTTCCAATGTGTTTTGGTTCGTCATTTTGAATTTTTTTAATATTTTTTTCCAGTGGCGCGAACACAAAGCAGTAAGATTCCAGACCGTGGTTTAGAATGGGGCACTTCATCGAGATTGGCTAATGAGGAATAGCATATTGGAGCATCTGCATCCGCATCACAGTCGGTTGGATTTCCAGAAGGATCGTACGATACATCTCTTTTGGTTAAGTAAGAGCTGCATATTGCTAGACATGTATGGTTTGGTGAGGTAAATAAACGACATGTATTTGATATTGAATAATATTTGAACTTTTAATGTTGTGTTTTATATTGTTCATACTTTTAATTGTTTTCAGGAGAGAGGCCCGAGGAAAGAGCTGAAGGTTGTTGGACATAGGTTGAAGCTGACAGTGAGGGTTCCACAACAACTTTCAAAAGGGATGGAGAGTTGGATTTCTAGGTCTGGTTTATCTTCACTCCAGAGAACTAGTTTGACGAAGATAGACACAAACCCAATTTCTGCATTTATGGAGAGATGACATCTAGAGACATCTTCATTTCACATGTCGTTTAGTGAGATGAGCATTACTCTGGATGACGTCTCTTGTCTGCTTCACTTACCCATCAGAGAAGTGTTATAGCCCCTTCAAGATATCACTGAAGTGGTTGTTGTTGGACTTGTTGTTAATTACTTAGGAGTGTCATAGTATATGACACAAGAACAAGTTTGTCACTGCAAGGGTTCTTACTATAAGTTGGAGTGGTTATACGATTTATTCAAAGAGCATAGAGTTGCTTCTAGATGGGTATGTGTGACTAGAGCGTATTTGCTGATGTTGGTGGGTTTCATAATTTTTGCTGACAAGACCTTTACAGTTGTTGATAAGTGCTAATTGGAGTGATATTGAGTGTGAATAATTGGAACTTATTGGCTTAATTCAACCAATAAACCTCAACTTTTGTGCATATGTTGTATAGTTTACATTATAGTGTATATATCACATTATCGTGTAAATATGATTGAGTTTAATAGTTTAATTTTATTTTTGTAGGTATTCAAACGAGAATATTTTTTCATATTCATATAGAGCATTGAATAAGCTTTTCGACGCTTCCGACCGGGCCTCAAACGGAGTTACGGTTCAAAAGTTATGAATAAAACAAGTGCAGGATTTTGTTGTACTGTCAGCTCTCGCCCCAAGCTCGCCGGATGAAGCTGAAGCGAGCTAGAAATTCCAGAAGTTGCAAAAAATTTCGCCTTTGTTCGCCAGGCGAAGTTTCCTGGGCAGAAACACATTAAAAGGGTTTAAAACACAATTTTTAGGGATGGGTTGGATATTTTTGGTCCCAACTCATCCAAACTTCATTTCTTCATAGTTTTAGAGCTTAAGAAACAATATTTGTTGTTTGTAATCGGATGATCCGGGGTCGGGAGCTTGGTTAATTGTGTTTGACATCGCGATAAATTTGGTTTCTTCTCCATTTTCTTTCCCTTTGTAAGTACCATTTGTTGGGGTTTGTTTGTAAGTATGCTTTGTTTATATGTATATTTATTACTCACGGTGTTGTATGAAACTTTCTTTAAAAATTAATGTTGATGATTACTTTCTTAATTTAGGTTTGCAAAACCAATGCAATAAATAGAGACATTTGGTGAATATGAACTTGTTATAGGGAAGAAATTCATGCACAGATTGCCTAAACAGACAAGTACAACATCATAGCAATTTGCTATCAAGTAACACATATCTGGTAGAGTCAACCATTTTTGTGGTGGTTCAGAACCAAATGCCTTTATCATCAAAGGTTCTCTCACTTCTGCTAATCGATTACCAAATAAGCTGTCATACAAACTTGACATTTCCTTGTGTATTATTTTAAACCCCAAATCTCGATGAACTATTGGCTAACCATCTTCATCATATCCATGCAATGAAGCAACGAATCTAAATCCACAATTACCATCTAATACAACATTAACTACATCTTTAATATATGACCTAATATGATTATGAACTGGAATGATGAACTGCTTAGATGACTATGAGTACTTCTGTTATGGTTGAGATTGCCTTTGAGAAGATTGTGATAATTTCAACTTCTTTAAAGCTTATGATGGTTGAGATTGCCTCTGTGAATATTGAGATGCTTGATCAACATACTCATGATACGAAGGGTCCTTATAAACATTATATCCTACTGGTTTTTTGCCTTTCTTCTTGACTCCCCCTTTGGTTTTTGTTTTCTTAGGTGGTGGACACAAAGAAGTCATTATGGGGTAGGCAAGTTCACAAAGTCTACTTCTTAATGCTCTTTTCCCAGCAACATCTAATGATCTAAATCTTTTCCATAATTCATCTATTGCACTACTCATATCCACTTATGATCGATCATCTACATCTACCTCCAACTCAACTTCCATAATTAGTTTCCTCTAATGAACATGCACAATATCTATTGGTATCGATATACCACCAAGTATGTATCTTATTAACTCACAAGCACAAGGTAACTCATAGGATATTCTAAGATTACAACCACATATTTTCCTGTTAGTTCCAGCATAATCAACTCTCAATATCTCTTCAGCAATGCGTCTCAAAGCAGCTCGAGACACTAAACCACGTAAATTACTGTAAAATGGACTTACATGCGTGTGCTCAACTTCATAAAAACATTTTTGAAAAGAAGTTCTAATGTTGCCTGGTTGTAACTTTAAGTTGTTATTCATAGCCTCACAACATTTGACCATATCACCTATATTATTTCCCAACATCTGCTTTAACTTCCAATGAGCTGACTCAAACCTAAAAATAATACATACTAAAAATACTATAAAAATGTACAATTTAAAAATACTAAAAATAAATACATAGTAAAAAATATTAATAAAAAGATATATACCGATTAGTCGTGGTGTTTTCCAAATGTAGCACTCGATTAATTCATGCTCCAACAAATCTATGTTTATGTGGTGTCAACCATGTGTCTTTCACATGATCAATAAATTCATTAGTATCAACACACGTCTACTTAATTTGTTGCAATCGTTGATCATACTCAACCTCATCACTAGCCACACAACTTCCATCCATAATTCCTCAATCGTCTTTTGCATGTCACCAACCACATATTTGCATGTCACTAACCATATATTACTTGCATTTTGCACCAAAAATTTTGTTAATGTGAAATCGGCATAGAAAATTGATCGACCTTGGAAACACAATTTCAATTGCTTTCATCAAAGCAAGATCTCTATTTGTCAAAATCACTTGTGGGCACAAATCTTTCTTCACAAACAATTATTAAGCTTATCTAACACCCAACAAAAAGTCTCAATCTGCTCAGACTCCATATACGCAAATGCGACAATAAAAGTCAACTCGGTTGATGTCATGCCAACAATTTCAAACAGAGGTTGCCTATATTTGGTTATCTTGTAAGTGTTGTCCATAACTAATACAATAAGAAAAATATTCAACAACTTAAATGAATCTGGATGGGCCCAAAATATATCTCTAATAACTTCTGAGTCATCTCTTTTTCTACTCCAATAAACATAATGTGCATCCTCAATAAGCTTAAACAAATGTTGTATCTCACTTCTAGGACCTCTTATCTCTTTTTCTATCATACTTTTATGCTTATATATTTGAGTGAAGCGGGTGACATTCTTTGGATCTCGCTATTTCAAGGAAAGTAATATGTGTCTAGGTGGAACATGTCTCTTTGTCAAGTCAACAACATGCTGCTTATGATATGTGGTCAACCAACCAACAAAGGAGTGACCTTCTAATCTATCAAGTAAACCATGGTTATCAACTCCACATTTTACATCAACTTTCCATCCAGACCCATCTTTCATCGAAGTCGACTTAATTTTAAATGGACATCCATATCTTTTCGTCGCACTTTTGGTTTCACTATCAGTATCCTTGTATTTCTCACCTTTATCACAATCAAATATTAATTTGTTACTTCTTCCTTTCTTAGTAGTCATAGGAGTATCTGATTCTTCATTTTCTTCTTCTTTATCAGATGTGAGTTATTTCCTCTTTCTTATTTCTATAAGAATATAAACATCAGGGCAATTATCAGGAAGTTGATCACGAGTAATGGTTACACCATACTCCCTTTTAGCTTCTTCCAGAAAAAATATGATGACATCAAGATAGTCTTCTTGTGTCAGCAAAGAATAATCTTCCAGAAAATCTTTTCTTATATCTTTCATGACTCTAATAGGATTAGGAATCATTACAATATTCTTCTTCCTTCTCTCTTTCATGTGAGCCAGAACGGATGCATATAGCACACTCCCATAAGCATCATCTAAATCTTGAGTAGCTCCAAATTCCATCAGTATGTTAATCAATTTGCATTGATAAAATAAGTTCAGAAGCAGTCTTGCATAAGGAAATACTCTTTTGAACTTCTTATTAGAATCCTTGATAGATTCACATAGATGATGAGAAATATAACCATGAAGATTTAATCATTGATCAGTAGACATATACCAAAGAAACATCTTGTGATCCCATGAAATTTGATCTGAACTGCCTTCTTGAGGAATCAAACAACCAATAATCATCTTTCTTTTCAAAGAGTGCCTTCTTAATATCCCTGACATATTATCCTCCATCCTTTTTGTTGATTATCACCATTCCTTTATTTTCAGCCCCAATTAGATGAACAATATTCTCTTGAGTTACATTGATATCCAGGCCCATTACATCAGATCTTATTTCCACACCTTTGAACTCCTTCAAACCCATTTCTGCTCTTGATTTTCCTTTCAAGCTTCTGTCTTTTTCTACAACATTTCTTTCTTCATCTTGTGCAGAATACTCATCATACACTTCTGCTCTAACCCAAAAATCTTTTACCAGAGTTGGGTAAGTTGCTCCATTCAACATATCAAAGAAGTTCATCCAACCTTGGAACTCAAAGTAACTTTTTAGTGGACATCCATTTACAGCAAAACTATCAAAATCAACCACTTGCTTAATGAGGAACTTTAATTTATCTTATCGAGTGGAATAGTCTTCGGTTTAATCTCAAACTTTTGCATGGAATTAAAATTTAAATGATTGGTTGATGAGGATTCTGTTGATGAGTTTTTAGGGTTTTTATAGGGTTTTGAGATAAAACACAAAGAGGACAGTGATAAAGGTTGTGTGTGTTGAGAATGTGTTGAGAGAAATAAATAACATTAAAGAGACTTAAACACCAAAGTATTTAAAATAAATTAATTCCCCTTCAAATTCAAAACATAGTCAATTTCAAGTGTATTGAAGACATTTCAGACAAGTGTAAAAAGTGGTACATTGTCTAGAGGAATTTCCACTTTTGTGCATGTGAGAAGCAAAGATTTCTTTATGCATTTTTCTGAATTAGAGATTTTTCAAAGATTATCTTTAATCAAAAGTTTGTTACCCAAACTTTGAATGAGACAATATTTGACTAATATTTGATTCAGATTCTTCATTCAAAATTAAGCATAAATAACTATGTTCAGAATCCTTCTTCAACTGTATAATTCTTTAGCAGAATTACTAATTGTATCAAAACATATATTAGTTTCTTCTGAACAGTAGTAAGAAAGCTTTCTTTATAAAGAGAATTCTTTGTTTTGACATGACACTGATGTTATCACAAATGGTGAGAATACCCAAAAACACCAGTCTGAAAGTTCTTAAACTAATGTTTTCCAAAGTAACTGAGTGTAAAAAAGATATATACACACACGAATACTTTGTACAAAATATTATACTTGAAATTGAATAACAGAACTTATCTGAATAGAATTTTTGAATCAAAATTCCCAGATGTTATGATGAAGCTTCTCTGACTTGTTTTGAAGCCATCATTTTGAACTATACTCCTCTAAAAGAATAACACCTTTGAGAAGGAGACTAGTTGCTTTCGATATATTTATTCATCTTTGCCACCCTTCTTTTCATACGAAGATGAAAACATGCTTTCCCCACTAGATCTTTGTCTGCACCACTATTAAGTGTTATGCAAAGACCAAGTTTTGATACCAACTGAAGGTGAGGAAAATACACAAGAAGGGGAGTTGAATTGTGTTCTAGAAACAATTTTGTACTTTTGAACAGAGTTTAGATTCTAAATGAAGATTCTGAACTTGATGACAGATGTTGTGGATAAAAACAGAAGTAAATAAATAGATAAAGAACACAACATAATTATCCTGGTTCCTCCTAAATTAAGAGTAATCTAGTCCCCTTGCAACACAAGAGATTTCCACTATAATCAATCATGATTACAAATGCTTATACACTTAAGTATAAACTTTTCTTTAGTCAGACCATCAGCCCGAGACTTCCTGCTTAAACCTCTCAGGTCCAAGACTACTGCTTCTCCACGAACCCAAGACTTTCATGCTTAAGCCCCTCAGACTCAACACTTAAGTATAAACTTATCTCTCAAGCATTTCTCTTCCTTTGAATATTGTTATATATCATTCTTCATCTGAATTTGTATTGTCCATCTCCTTCACCTTCTCCATTATAACCTTGCTATCAATTTCAATTATCATCTTATTAAAGCAGAAATCAATATTGATTTCAATCGCTTTTAGTAATGTCGTAGATTTCGCCATTAACGAGATATTTCTCCCTTTCGTGCTAATCGAGCTAGTTACTAACGTTTCGCCATTTTTGTTTTTAAAAATGGCTCAAAGACCATAATTTCCTTATGTTCTAAGGCTCACATCCGTGTTAACTTTTATCCATCCATTTTCCAGCGGAACCCATTAATGAGAAATTAAGACACGGTAACATACCAATATGCAGCTGATGACTTCTCGGCAAGTGTACCGGTAGTGTCCCAAAAATAAAAAGATTGTATCCACAGAGACTGTTATTTAACAAGAAAATATTATACAATGTTTATAAAATACTAGATTGATAGATTTTTGAGTTTAAGTGTGAAAAGAAACTAAAGTGTTATGTCAATAATACGAAAGTGGATAGGTTATGTATAGAAACCCTTGTTTCTCTATTGTTGATGTTTGATGCGAAGGTGAGGAAAATACATAACAAGGGGGTTGAATTGTGTTCTCCAAATCATTTTGTACTTTTGAACAGAGTTTAGATTCTAAACAAAGATCCAGAAGCTGATAACAGATGCAGTGGATAACAACATAAGTAAATAAATAGATAAAGAACACAACATAATTATCCTGGTTCCTCCCAAACTGAGAGTAATCCAGTCTCCTTACAAAGCAAGAGATTTCCACTATAATCAATCATGATTACAACTACTTATACACTTAAGTATAAGACTTTTATTTTGCTTAGACCTTCATCCTAAGACTTCCTGCTTAAACCCCTAAGGTCCAAGACTTCTGCTTAGGTTCTACGAACCCAAGAATTCCTTGCTTAAGCCCCTCAGACTCAAGACTTCTGCTCATACCATCGGTCCAAGACTTCCCTGCTTAGATTCCAAAAATCCAAGAATTCCGCTCAAGCCCCTCATACCCAATACTTTCTTGCTTAAGTTCCATGAACTCAAAACTTCCTTGCTTAGGTTCCACGAACCCAAGACTTCCGCTCAAGCCCCTCAGGCCTAATACTTCTGGTCAGACTCACAGTTTAAGACTTTATACTCAATCAACAACTGATCAAGACTTTCAATGCTCTAGCACATAACATGAGACTTAATTGACTCAAGCTTCTTAGCAAGAGACTTTGATGCTCAAACACATAGCAAAAGACTTTATTTAAACTACTAAACAATCATGTTTAGCCGAATAAAAAACAAGGTGTACTTGATACAAAATCAGAGGTACAAAGTTTCATACCCCAAAATTTGACCCCTAGATTCCATTATCATTGTAGGAGCATCACACATTGTTTCCTAACACTAACTTTGTTTCAAGCTTGTTGTTGTTGAAGTTCATCTGAATAAGGGTTTGGCACCTGTGGAATCGAGAGGATTAGTGCTTGATCAGTCAATTTTTTGGATTTGATCATCATCAAATAAATTTCTCATACATTCAAGGAGCTTATATTAAAAAAGAATCAAGTGCTAATTGATCTCACTACAAGTCAATTGAAGCTTAATTTCATATGGCCCCAAATTAGGGTTTTGTCAGAAAAAGTCAATTGTGCTTTTGACTTTTGATCCAAGCAAGAGCCCAAGCCTTTGGAAATGATTCAAAATGTTCATATACATCATTGAATCCTACTTATGATGTTTTAGAGGTCTCAAGATGCAATTTCATTGAAGATCACACAGTTGAACTCATTTTATTCAAAATTCATCTGACAAAGTCAACTCTTTGACTTTTAGGGTTTTTGGTTCAAATTGGACCATCCAAGTCAAATTTCATCAAAATATGTTTAATAAATGAGTTTGATCATGAGAAATAAAGGTTTGAGAGGTTTCTTGCAAAAGAAGAAAACTTGGATAAACTTGAAATTTTTCTAAGTGTGGAAAAAACCCTAGTTTTGGTACCAACTTTGAAAGGCCATAACTTCTGATCCACACATCCATTTTGTGAGTTCCAAAGATCAATTTGAAGATATCCTCATGTCATAAAAATGTTTCCTAGTGACCTATGAGAAAAAGATGTTTAGATTTTGAATTATGAAGCTTCAAAGTTTGGAAGAATTTCAAAACACTTAGAAAATTTTCAAGATAGCTTTGTTACTCCAATTTTCAGTCAACTTCAAGGCTAGTTTTCACTATGATCCCTTGAGATTCAAGAAATTATCAAAACATGAAAGTTGTAGGGCATGTTTAGGGCTTTCCAAAAAGTAAAATAACTCATTCATAGCATTTGTGAGCTAGGAGTTTCAAAAAAAAGAAGTTGAGGTTCAAGAACTTGAAATTCAAGATTTCAACTTGACATGACATGATACAAAACCAATCTTTTGTTGCAAATCTTGGTGTTTTGATTTGTCTAATTGCAAGATCTTTTTGATCAGAGTATTACACAAAATTACAAGAGATTACATAAGGTTTTAAGGCATAAACCTAGAGGTTATTCCATTTATGGCATAAAGGGAACACTTCCATTTTTGGTAAAGCATGGCCTTTCCACTAATTCAGCATAGAGCCACTCCCTCAGCCTCCCAAGTACAAGCCCATTTGCAGAAGCATGCTCAAAGTTCAACCACCTTATACTTGCTTCCTTAAACCATACAAAATACATCATCACAAGCTCTTTGGAATCCAAATGGATAGTTGACAAGAATTCGGGTTCTAACCACACTTCAAACTCTCCACTCTCTCTATAAATACTAAGTTAATCTTCAGTGCAAACAACAAGAAAAAACCTCAAAAACCACACAAAAGCACTTGTGTATTTGTGTAGCAAAGTGTTTTGCAAAACACCCTAGTTTTTGCAAAACCTCTGGTCAGAATCATTTCCTTCGTGCATTCTTTAAACCAACATCACAAACCTTCTCTAAACACCTCATAGACTTGGTTCCAACCATCAAACAGGTTTTGAAACACCTTAAACCTAATATACCATTCCCATCCTTCATTCTGCAAGACACTACGAGTTTTATTATTGAATCTGCTTCCAATCCATTTGAACATTCAAGTCATATCTCTAAGGATTAACAAAGCCAAGGAGGTTGTCATTTCCTTTTTGTAAGAGCATTTGAAGAAGCCTTGGACTGTCTCTAAGAGGTAAGTTTTTTCTCCTTGAACTTCATGATTCATGCACCATTAATGATTCATTTGTGAAGCAAACATGTAGATATCATCATATGCTAGATGTTTCAACTACTGTTTGTTTTATATGAGTTGCACATATAATGTTTTGACATGTGATATTTTTGTTGTGTTGCACTGTTGTTGGCTTCACTGTGTGATATGCTGTTAGAGTTAGGTTAAATGAGTATCATATTTGGATTCTCCTTAAAAATGATTCAAC